GCATTTTGGTTATTCAGAAGAAGTTGTTTAAAGGTTTTTTAATACAATTGACCCCTGTGACCTTGAATATAATTGAAGGTCATTCATTTGAACAAACTTGGTAGCCCTTCACCCAAGCATGCTACTGGCCAAATATCATCTCCCTGGGTATTTTGGTTATTGAGAAGAAGATGTTTAAAGTTTTGACATATTTGACCCCTGTGACCTTGACAATAGGTGAAGGTCATTTATTTGAACAAACTTTGTAGCCCTTCATCCAAGTTTGCTTCTGGCCAAATATTGACACCCTAGGCCTTTCGGTTATTAAAAAGAAGTCGTTTAAAGTAAAATATTGACGCCGGACGACGGACGGACGGACGGACGGACGGACGGACGGACGACGGACGCCGCGCCACGGCATAAGCTCACTTGGCACTTCGTGCCAGGTGAGCTAAAAATACAGAATAAAGTAAGCGACATCTCAAGAGATGTTGTTTATATACATATATATATATAATACATCTATATTGGAAATTTTATTTACGTTGGTGTAGAAATGCTTCGGGTTTTGGGTTGACTATTTCCAACCCAGGGCGGACACAAAACTGACCCGTGACGGGTCACCCGGGTACTCGTTGCAGCCCTAGTAATAAAATGTATAATTTTGATAGAGCATCTTTAGACCTTAATTTCCATCTGTAAAAAGTATTTGATTGAAGGGTTTCTGGTTCAGCCGAAGAAGATTTTTAAAATATTGTCAAATTTTCCCCTTTTTAGGCCCCGCCCTTCAGATCCCTGGGGGGTCAGGGTCACAATTTTCATAGCATTTAACTTCCATCCCATGATATTAATTCCACCCAAGTGAAAATGATTTCCTACGAAAAATAGAGAAAATATGTACTCAAAAGTGTTATTTCCCTATATAACTATAGTAAACTTTACCCCCTCCACAGGGGAGATGGGGGTGACCTGGGGGTAATGAAATTTACAATTTTGATAAAGCACCTTAGGACCTTTCCATCCATGAAGAGTATTTGATTGCATTGTTTCTGGTTCTGCAGCAGAAGATTTTTAAAATATTGTCAAATTTGCCCCTTTTTAGGCCCCGTCCTTTAGCTCCCTGGGAGGGTCAGGGTCCCAATTTTCATAGCATTTAACTTGCATCCCATGATATTAATTCCACCCAAGTTTGAATGTTTTCCTATGAAAAACACAGAAAATATACTCAAAAGTGTTATTTCCCTATATAACAATAGTAAACTTTACCCCCTCCCCAGGGAAGAATGGGTGACCCGGTGGTAATGAAATTTACAGTTTTATAAGAGCACCCAAGAACCTTTCCATCCATGAAGAGTATTTTATTGCAGGACATCTGGTTATGAAAAAGAAGATTTTTTCAATTTGGCCAATTTCCCCCTTTTGGCCCTGCATTGAGCCCCCTGGGGGATATAGGGCTAATGCACCATTACCCGGCGCCCCACACACACATACCTCTGTAGTATAACAAGAGGCCCAATGGGCCTGCATCGCTCACCTGGTATTAATCTCACACTTGTAATCTTACAAGTGGACTAAGATACAGCTACAGGCAGAATATCAGTGTTTGATTCATAAG